TATAGGTGGACACAATATCTTTATTTTATTTTTATGTGGTGCTGAGGATTGAACCCAGTGCCTCATGCATGTGAGGCAAGCACTCTCCCTCTGAGCCACAACCTCAATAAAGCTATTTGAAACAAAGCAAAACAAAGCAGAAATAGCAGTTGCTAAAATCCAATACCCATTCCTGATTTAAAAAAAAAAAACTTAGCAAACTTAAAAGTAAACTTAGAAGTAAACTTAGAAGTAAACTCCCAAACTTGTTAAGGAATGACATGACATCCACCAAAGAGCCAAGCGTGGTGGCACATGCCTGCAGTCCTAGCAACCCAGGATATTGAGGCAGGAGGATCACAAGTTTGAGGTAAGTCTCAGCAATTTAGGGAGGCCCTAAGCAACTTAGTCAGACACTGTCTCAAAGTAAAATATAAAAATAAAAAGGGTTTGGGATGTGGCTCAGTGGTAGAGCACTGCTGGGTTCAATCCCCACTACTGGGAAAATATTATATGTATATAGATAGATAGGTAGATATTTTAATATATATAATAAATATATATATATATATATATATATATATATATATATATATATATATATATACCTAAAGCATATAGCCAACATCATCCCTCCTATTGTTAAATGTTAAAAGAATTCTTTTTAAAATTGGGATCAAGGCAAGGATGTTTACTATCACTACCTCTATTCAACATTACACTAGAGATCTTAACCAGGATATGGAGAAAAGAAAAGTAAAAAGATATAAAGAAATGAAGAAATAAAACTGTCATTATTTATAGATTAAATAATTGTGCATGTAGAATCTACACATTATTAGAATAAGAAAATTTAGAAAGTTGGATGAATATAAGATCAAAAGGCAATCACATTTTCTTATACAAACATGTTTAAGAAGCATGATTTTTAAAATATACATTTATTCCAAGCAAAAAAGAAAGAAAGAAAGAAAGAAAGCAAACAATATGTTCACAAAGGTATGGCCAGACAGGTGCAGTGGTACGCGTCTGTGATCCTAGTAATTTACATTACTGAGGAAGGAAGATTGCAAATTGGAGGCCACCTTCTGCAATTTTAATGGGACAGTGTCTCAAAAAATGAAAAGAACTGGAGATATGGTAAAGTGGTAAAGTGCCCTGGGTTCAATTCCCAGTACCAAAAACAAACAAAAAACTGTATAGATAAATTTGGGTGTGGTGTACACCTATATTTCCAGCACAGGAGTCTGAGGCAGGAGGATCACTTGAGTTGGAGCATTAGAGACCAGCCTGGGAAACATAGTGAGAACTGTATCAAAAAAAAAAAAAAATACATTTACAAAAAAATCTATGCTTGCTGCTGTGGTGCAGGCCTGTAATCCCAGCAACTCAGGAGTCTGAGGCAGGAAGAGCACAAATTTGAAGCCCAGTCTCAACAATTGAGCAAGACCTTCCAGAAACTTAGTGAGACACTATTTAAAAATAAAAAGTACTAGATCTGTAACTCAGTAGTAAAGTACTGGGTTCAATACCCAATATCCTCTCCAACACACACGAAAAAGAATGTAGGAGTAATATTATGAAACTTTATTTAATACTTTAGAAAATACTTAAATACCCCAACACTGGGGGAAAAAAACTAAATAAATGAAGATATACAATATATTCATGGATAAAAGAGTTATTATTACAAATATTCAATGTAATCTTATTAAATACTCAATAGTATTTTATAAGAAATTTTTGATAAGCTGTTTCCAAAATTTATAGAGTAGAGCAAAGGGCCCTCCAAAATAGCTAAAATGCATCTGAAAAATGGGACATATGCAGATATTAATGTTTATTACAAAGTTATGGAAATTCATAAGGCATAGTATTAGAAAGATAGAATACATCAGAAATAGACCCATGAATATATGGAAACAATATACAACAAAGATGTTTAAAAATAAAGCTATAGAAAAAATATATCAGGCTTGAGATGACACTAAAAATCTGTGGGTCCCAGAAGCTTGAGAAGCTGAGGCAGGAGGATCACAAATTCAAAGCCAGCCTCAGCAAAAGCAAGGCACTAAACAACTCAGTGAGACCCTGTCTCTAAATAAAAATACAAAATAGGGCTGGGGATGTGGCTCAGTGATTGAGTGCCCCCGAGTTCAATCCCTGGTACCCCAAAAAAAATCTATGGGGAAAGATAGACTACTCAATAGGAAAATTGGTTATCCATATGGATAAAAATAAAATTAAGCCATAATTCACTGAACCCAGATTCAAGTCCTGACAGATTAAATATGGAAAGTAAAACTGTCTAGCTTCTAGAAGAAAATACAGGACATAATCTCCATTATCTGAGAGTATGGGTAGATTTTTTTATGTCCCCAAAAGCACTAACCATAAAAGAAGAAATTAATAAATTCAACTGTTTAAATTAAGAACTTCTGTTCACTTAAGGCACCATAAAGAAAAAGATTGAAGCCACAGACTGAGAGATTTGCAACATGTAACTGATTAGTGTATAGAATAAATTAAACACTATAATTTTCTGGGTTAAAATTGAACACACATGTGTTTTAACTCCTTCCTGAAACACTCTCTAAAACTATAGTAAAATGGATGTTTACAACATAAAGTCACAAGGATGGTGAGAAAGAAAGAATAATGGCAAGAAAATTTTGGAAGATGAAAGTATGGTAGATAAATAGTAACTGGTTTAGCAGATCTGAGAAAGCTGAATCCAAAGCCAGCAATAGGAAACCCCAGACATAATTCAATTTAAAACTGCAGAATTTCCAAAAGCCTCAGGAATTGGTAATCCTAGGCCTCTCTGGAACTGAAGATGGGACAAGGACAAGGCTAAAGCAAGGATTATTTGAAAGCCTTTAAGAAGCAGTTAGACCCACTAATCCACGCTTCTATTCCATGCCAAAGGGTAACTGCCTGCCTCTGTCTCTGCAAAAGTCACAGGCTTATTTTTGGCAAGGATCTCAACACTGGGAATACAAGTTGAGGACAGAGTACCACACTTAAAAGCAGGTAAAACTCCTTATACTGAATGCTAAAGCCCCAGCAGCCCTCTTCTACCTAGGTTCTCAGAACACTGGCAGCTTGGTTATTGCCCTTAGGCCAAAGATTGAAGAAGTATGTTCTGAAGACTCTTCTCAGTCCAAAATGAAAGACATACAGACACTGCATTGGAATTTTTAAAAACAGTTCAGCTACATCATCCCATGGTGATGCATACAGTTGACAAAGCCCACCCACAGTTCCAAACCTTTGATAAGCTCTTTTACTCTGCTATATGTAAACATAAGTAAAGACTGCAGAACTTTGAGGAAAGCCTCTAACAAAAAAATTGATGATGTCTATGAGTTCTTCTAAATAACTGTTTTTGTATTTGTGAGTTTTTCTATGTCTGAGTGCATAGGGATAGGTGTATATGGGTGTGTAAGGTTCAGTGAAGTGCTAAATCATTGGATCTCTGCATTTATGTCTCCCATATTTTGCCCTCCACCTACACAGGAATGTGACTGTGCTGGATCCACCCCCAAAACAGTGGAAACTCAGCCAGGAACAGTGGTGCATACATGTAATCCCAGCTACTCAGAAGAATGAGGCAGGAGGATCACAAATTCAAGGCCTCAGCAACTTAGTGAGACCATGTCTCAAAATTAAAGTTAAAAATGGCTAGGGATGTTAGTTCAGTGTAAAGATCTCCTGGGTTTAATCCCTAATATTGCCCCCCAAAAACAACAACAATAAAAAACCCCACAATGTCAGCTGAGCACAGATGATCCCAGAAGCCCCTGAGCTGAGGGGTTTTCCAGGTTGATCGAAGGTCTGAAAACCACCAGATCGAAGCCCTAGCCAAGGAAAAGGAAGCCTCTGCCCTTAAAACCATAAAGAGCAGGAGGAGTTGGTAGTAGTGTCACTATCCCAGCACCCATTGGGTAGTGGTCCATTGTATGGAAGCCCTCCCTGACTTTGCTGGGTGTCCTATACTTGTGACACAGCTGACTTTTCAGACTAGCTACCTACAAAGACCTGTGGACCCAAATCTTACATTCTGCCCTCAGCTAAGGACAAGGGACCCCCAAAGGGAGGT